AAAACATGCATCCCTCTACACCATTATGTTGGTACGCCTGGCAAACTCCAACGTGTTCTTTCACGAGCGCACGAAATTTGGAACTGGTGCTAAATCAGAAGCCTTTTTACAGCACAGGTAGATCAATGACACCAAATTTGGAGTACATGTACACAATTCTGTGAATGTACAGAGTGTCCCAAAAAGATGTGCACACTGTTTGATCGTTAATAACTCTCTTGCTTTCATGTCTTCTGCCGAGCTTGAGGTACCATTTTGTAGAGCGAGGTTAAACTTAGACTTACAGTATAGAGCGAACCACCAATCACTCTTCGTTACTGTAGGATCACGGTATGAACTTTCAGCATATAGCGTCACTATGAAATAAGCTGTTTGATGAAATAATTTCGAAAAAATCTAAAAATTTGTGTAGCAAGGTTTTCAGGCGTGCTGATATCACTACATATCTTTCCACCAGTTTTTCGAGCTTTCTTGATGGCGTATTCGCATTTCCGACAATCATTGGAAAATCAGTTGTTACCCTAAATCTGAAATAACTCATGAAAGAAACAGTGTATTGACGTGCAATTTTCATATTTAGAATCAGCAACTTCAATTAACCCAGTTCAAAAGTTTCCGGCTTGTTTGGCTTTCTTTCTGAAGCAAAATACCGCTTTTAATGGCTTAAAATCTTCCTCGAATTTCCTACCGTAATTCTACAGTAATGAAGAGCTGCTGATAAGTCGCTTTAGACTGTAAATTTAAGTTGAACCTCGCGCTAAGGAATGGTACCTTAAGCTCGGCAAAAGACATGAAAGCAAGAAAGTTATCAACAATTAAACAGTGTGCACATCTTTTTGGGACACCCTGTATAAAAACTCGGATGCATGCAAAAGTATACCTTTTGTGCTTCACTCGGGCTCACTTTTCAAAAAAGGCTTGGCATGGAGCATAAGTATTTGAATGTTCAGTTAATATGCTGGTGTTATCGTATAAACTCTCTCCCCGTTCGAAGTTTTGTTTTCCAACGAAAAATCAGCCGAGCATTGCTTTCCCTCTATTTTTTTGATTTGATTGATATCGTGTCTTAGCTCCAACGTCTTGGTCTAGAGCATACTTTACCTTTAGAATTTTACTTCAAATTCACCTCTTATTTTGTATTCCGTCATATGTTTACTATTTCCTCTGTTATGACTATGCTGCTTTGTCCTTTGAAAACTTCGAGATTAAGTTTATAGGGACACCAAACGAGTCTAAGGAAGCTTTGTAAAATTTTGGCGACAGAATTCTTGTGCATGGCTGGATTTGATTCTTTATGACAGAAGCAATGATTGTAAAAAATGTTGTAGAAGATACGATACCATTTCATTCAACTGGCTTGGCATCGGCAAAGGCGGGGCTTCGTGACCTAATTAAGGCTAGGTAATGATCAGGGAGCACTTGCGTGAGAGAGACGCAGGTGCGTCGCGGGCGCGAGCGGCCTCAATTCGATCACAAAACCCCGCCCTAATGATGCCAAGCCAGTTGAATCAAATGTTACGTGATACATGCGACCTCACAGAACGCACTTGCTTCAGAAACTACTTACCACGCAAATAACATGTTCTTAGACTTGTGTACGAAATTTTTGTTTTACAGTCTTCTACAAAGGCGCCACTGTGATGTGGATGATTTGAGGATTCATTTTAGTCAAATAAAATTATCTTCAATGTGAAGGGAACGAAATTAAGAGTGAGCATTTGAGAGTGACATTTTGAAGCTTCCAAAATATGGATGGGGTCTTCTCGGAAACTCAGAAGACAAATCATGCGTCTGGTTTGAATACGGGAGAGAAACGGACGCATGACGTAAAAGATAGTAGAAGCTCGGAACTTCTCAAGCTTCGATGATTTTCTTTAATATAAGCACTACCTTGCTTTCGCTCTCTTCAAACTGGCACAAATTCCCTTAATTTTTTCCCGATCATCGTTTACTCACAGACATCGACTACTACATTGGTCTTCCATTTGAAGAGGAGTACAGGATGGCCCGATTGTCAGTGCCAACAATGTGGGAACGAATAAGCGAGGTTTTGTACGATTGGCGCGTATCTAGATACTTCTTATCGCTGTGGAAATTTGTTAGGGTACTGTTACTCCTTATTGCAAATACTGATCCTGCAAATGAAATTTTGAGGACACTCCCTTGTCACGAGCTACGAACAATCCGTCGTGGTTGCAAGCTGTTGCCAGGTGTACGTTGAACAATCCTGATTACCATCACTTGGAGCAAGCTGCTGCTCTTGGTATTGGAAATGCTAGATCGCTTGCAGCAATTTTCAATCTTGTGAGTGTTTTTCATATATTTCTGTAAGAGCAGGTCTATCTCCCCAAGGTGTTTCGCCTATGTCAATACCAACGGTTATTACATATATTTGTAACTAGCTGGCTCACCCGGCTCCGCCGTATCCGGACCAAACTTGGCACACATACACTTCGGGCCCCGGCGGGTGCCACAGTCCACTTTTCGTTATCGATCGATGTCGATTTTACCGATTTTTATCGATTTTTTTGCAGAGTTCACCTACAGGGCTAGGAGTTGGCACAGGGGGGAAGTGAGCATGGGGATTCCGAATACAATATTAGTTTTCAGAATTATCGATTACTTTTATTGATTTTATCGATTTTTTTTTGTAAATTTTGACATGCGAGGCTAGGATTTTGCACAGGGGGGTAATCGAGCATGCTGATTACGAACACAATATTAGTTTTCAGGATCGTCCATTACTTTTATCGATTTTATCGATTTTTTTGACCTGCGGGGCTGGGATTTTGCACAGGGGGGTAATCGAGCATGCTGATTACGAACACATTATTAGTTTTCAAATCGTCCATTACTTTTATCGATTTTATCGATTTTTTGCAAAATTTGAGCCACGGGGCTGGAATTTGGCACAGGGGTGTAATCGAGCATGCTGATCACCCCCCTTGGGGATGATCAGCATGCTCGATTACCCCCTGTGCCAACTCCCAGCCTCCTAGCTCAAACTTTGCAAAAAAATCAGTAAAATCGATAAAAGTAATCGATAATCCTGAAAACCAATATTGTATTCGGAATCCCCATGCTCGATTACCCCCCTGTGCGAACTCCCAGCCCCGTAGCTCAAACTTTGCAAAAAAATCAGTAAAATCGATAAAAGTAATCGATAATCCTGAAAACCAATATTGTATTCGGAATCCCCATGCTCGATTACCCCTCTGTGCCAACTCTCAGCCCCGTAGGTGAACTCTGCAAAGAAATCGATAAAAATCGATAAAATCGATATCGATCGATGACGAAAAGTAGCCTATGACACCCGCCGGGGCCCGTAGTGTATGTATGCCAAGTTTGGTCCGGATCGGTTCAGAAATGGAATTTTCTATTCGGAACATACGTACAGACATACATACATACATACATACAGACAGACAGACATACATACAAACAGACATTCAGCTTTATATATAAGATAAGCTCACTTACCTACCTCCTGTGCCAATTCCCAGCCCTGTAGCTTAAACTTTGCAAATTCGGTGAAATCGATATCGATAGCGAAAATTAGCCTAAGACACGCTCCGCGTTCCGAAGAATATGTGTGCAAAGTTTGGTCTGGATTGATTTTGAAATACTATTTTATTCCACACATACGTACATTCAGACAGACACACATACAAGTAGAAGTTCAACTTTATATATAGGATTTACTTAGTAAACGAAGTAATACGTTTAACTCGAAAAAGATTTTCAAATACCAATGTAAACAACTGTAAACAAGAACTCTGCTTTTGACTTCCATTGTTTGAACTTTTCACTTTCTCCAGCGAATCTTTGAGGTCAGATGAAGTAACAAAGTTTTTGCGTCTTTGAGTAATATCAAAGGGAAGTAAGGTGGCTTGCATTCTTTCACACCGTATGATGTATCTTGGATCCACAGGTGCGATAAGGTGAGAATGACCCATCCAGGGTGAAGGGAGTCACAGCCCCTTCACCCGGAGGGGCTGCGAGCGCTGTGACTCCCTTCACCCTGGATGGATCATTCTCACCTTATCGCACCTGTGGATCCAAGATACATCATACGGTGTGAAAAAATTTCAGTTGATCAAAAAAATCATAAAATGTCGACGGGGGGGGGGGGAGGGAGCCATGGTGTTCTCTCATCATTTTTCTTAGTAAAAGTTTATAAGTTTCAATTCCATGCCATCACTGGTTGTCTTTTTTTCTGAAATGTGAGCCGATGTGCTGCTGGATTAGCACACAATTATGGTTCTTTACATTTTTCCTTTTTCCTTTTTTACATCACCCTGCCTGTTTTAAAATTACCTTAGAAGATGTGCAGAGAAGATTTCTTTCGGAAAAAGTTAGACAATTTTTAAGCATTTACGAATTTTTCAAAGGAAGAAATTCGTAATGTCTGCAGATGAACAGCAACGTCAGCAAGGGAAATATCTATAAAACCACCTTGTCCTTCGCCTTTAGAGCATATATAGTTTGCCTGGAGTCTGTTGAAAAAGTGCCTGGTGAAGAGTGTGGGTAGTGATTTCTGGATATTTACGAGTTTTTAAGATAGAAAATCCGTAACTGTAGATGAACATCTTGTGCGCCTTGATGGTGACTGTTGAAACCGTCTCGTCTTCTGCTTTCAGAAAATATACTTTACCCCGGGTCCTTTAAGAAAAGTGCTTGGGTGAAGGGTGTCCTAGTGATTTCTAGAGATTTTCGAGTTTTTAACATAAAAAAATTCATAACTTCTGTAGATGAACATCTTGTGCGCCTTGATGGTCACCACTAGAACCGTCTCGCTCTCCGCTTTCAGAAAAGGTATATACCTTGCCTGGAGTCCGTTGGAAAAGTGCCGGGTGAAGGGTGGGTGAGACTTTTATAACGGGAGTGCTTAAGTACAGGCTTTTTTACCATAGTAAAAAGACGTCTACTTGAGCACTCCCATTATGAAAGTCTCACCCACCCTTCACCCAGGCACTTTTTTCAACGGACTCCAGGCAGAGTATATATTTCTGAAAGCGGAGGACGAGACGGTTCCAATAGTTACCATCACGGCGTAAAAGATGTTCATCTACAAAAGTTATGAATTTTTTATCTTAAAAACTCGGAAATGTCCAGAAATCACTACTCACACCCTTACCAAGCTCTTTTTTCAACAGCCTCCTTCTTTCCTATACATAAACAATTCACGTACAAATATCTCCTTTGCTTAACCTTACCTCACTGTTGATTTTTGTTCTCGGCTTTTGGTGAAGGGGGTTACCTTGGTCCCGGCTCAGGGGTGAAAGAGGGTTGAGAAAATTCTCACACTATCGCACCTGTGCTTGGATCTCATAAGGAGAGGATACTAAGTTAAGCTGGACTTTCGAAAAACGTATATATTGGGACTTCGCTTACGGTTCACACTGACTTCCAGAAAGGAAAGTATATACTGAGACTCAGCTTGAAACGCTAATTAGAATATGCTTTTCTAGCTGCTGTCTCTCTAAAGAGAGTTACGGGCTTTTTCCATATGATTGATTGTCATGCTGCTCGACATGAGAAAAAAGCCGGTACGGAAGTTCCGCCCGAAAAGGTGCTAGGATGATAAAACAAATTGAGTCTTCCAATGTCTCCATATAGAATGGAACTTAATGCAGGCGCATAAGCCCACAAATGTTGGTACCGTTATACAGGGTGTCCCAAAATTATGTATACACTGTTTGATCGTTAATATCTCTCTTTCAAAGAGCCCTTTTGCCTTGCTTCAGGCACCTTTTTGTAAAGCTGCCTTTAACTTTGATTTGCAGTATAGAACGAATCATCCATCTCTCTTCGTTGCTGTAGGATTACTAGAAACTTCGTAGATTGTTTTGAGCCATAAAAGGCCATCTTGTGCCTCAGAAAGGAAATAAAATAACCTGAAAACTTTTACACTAGGCTAACCAGAGTTGCTGATTCTAATTGTAAAGTTCCCAGCTTATCATGATGCTTCCTTGAAGAGTTATGCCAGGTAAGCAGTAGCGGCCATTTTTTCAATGTATCTAAAATGTGCGATTATACCATTTAGAAAGCTTCGCAATCTTGTGAATAGCTACGCTGAATCCGAAAATCAACACTGGAGAGCGCGAAAACGGCGAAGAAAGGCTCTAACAGACAAGGGGAATTGCAGGTGGGGGGGGGGGCTGTTCACATAGTGGCGTCACTCTCCCAGCTTCAGGAGCGATCTTCTCGCTTCCGCTAATCGCCCTAACATTACCACCAGCCAAATGCGAAACTCTTGACATGAAATCGGAACCGAGAAGATCGCTCCTAAAGCCTGGGAGAGTGACGTCACGATGTGAACGGTCCGCCCACCTGCGATTTCCCTCCTGCATTAGGGCCCTTTTCGCTGTTTTCGCGCTCTCCAGTGTTGATTTTCGGATTCAGCGTAGCGTCTAGGCCGAGGTAACCACAAAATCTCAAAATTGACTTCTTGCATGGACACTGCCTTTGATTCTGATACTACTCCGCTTCAAAGACTTTTATAATCCGGTAGTGTAAATCTGATGCTTCTCGTCGACAAGTAATTTATGATGCAGGCAGTTCATATACTGATTGTATCTCAACTGATCGTGAGATGTAGACGGCTATTCTCAGTAATCCTCGAATACTTCATTTGCAATGAACCCGCTGCAACGAACCCACACTTTCGCGCATGCCAATTTTTTTCAGCTACGTTCCACTTACTATCGCAATGTGCAAGGTCGCATGACGTTGCATCTCCTTGATCTTGTCTTGAAGAGTGTGAACTGAGCGCTGAGAACACAATTACGAATTAACGTATACTACAATTGACTATATATTGGGTCTTAAGGAGCAGTGAGCTTCAGCTACTTTAAACAGTAGCTGTTTATGGACCAGTGGTGATCAGCAAAAGTGAAGACTAGCATTTGCCAACATAAGTCGCACGCTTTCAGTATTTATTATTATAACAACGCTCACGAAGCTTATTGGCATTTTTTCAACGCGAGGTGGAAGAAAGTGGAGTAGTGCTTTACTTACTTAGATACTTAGATGGCCCGTCCTCACGTGACATGCGGGCCCCAGCACAGAAGTTACCATTGATCCCTGTCCCTCGCTTCGCACATCCACGATCTTCTTGGTCGTCGTCGGTGGCTGCGTCCGCGAGTTCCAGGGGCAAGAATCGTATCCAGCTGATTTCTCAGCTGGTCCATCCGTTCCACGAACACGTCTGCCCATCTCGTCGGTGGTCTTCCTCGAGGACGTTTGGCTTCGCGAGGGATCCACTCAGATGTTCTTGGTGTCCATCTATCGTCCGTTCTTCTCATTATGTGACTGGCCCATCGGTGTTTCGCTTTCGCAACGTATTCCGTTGAGTCACGAAGACGGGACATTCTTCTCATATCCGTGCTGCGAAGTCCGACTAGATGTTGCTTGTGTCGGGTCATCTTCAGAAGACTGCGCTCGAGCGCTCTTTGGGTGGTCCTCAAAGCTTTCGACGTGGCTACGGTGTCGGCCCAAGTCTCAGCTGCGCAGCAGAGCGCTGGGAGAACGGTTGAGTCGAACAGGTGGGCACGAAGCTTCGGGTCCGTCAGTTGGTCGGTGGCTTCCTTCAGAGGCACGAAGGCGGCCCAGGCTGCTCTTCTTCTCCTGTTAAGTTCTTCCCTCAAGTCGTTCTCCATGTTCATCGAACGTCCGAGATACATGTAAGAAGACGTCTCCATGGATGTCTTCCAATTCCATTTCTGCATCTTCGCAAAGGGCGTTCTTCATGAACTGAGTCTTCTTCCGATTTATTCGCAGTCGATCTTCTTCCCTACTTCGTTTAGTTCCTTCAGCATCGTCTCTGCTTCAGTGATACTAAACGAAAAGAGAACGATGTCGTCCGCAAAACGAAGGTTCGACAGGAATCTCCCATCAACTCGTATGCCTCTCTCTTCCCAGTCTAGTGACTTCATCACCCACTGCAAGGCCGCGGTGAATAGCTTCGGCGAAATAGTGTCGCCCTGTCGAACCCCCTTGCCGATTGGAATGGTCAAAGGGCGATGGAACAGCTGCATCATTGTTGTACAGTCCTTGTAGCAGTCGGATAGTGTCCTCACGTAAGCTGGTTCCACTCCTTGATCGACTAACGCAGACAGGATGGCGTTGGTTTCAACACTGTCAAAGGCTTTCTCGTGGTCGACGAAGGTTAGGACGAGAGGCAGTCGGTACTCCCGGCAGACTTCTACGACCCTCGAAAAACCGTCTGGATGTGGTCCATGCAGCTGAATCCCTTGCGAAATTCAGCTTGTTCTTGGGGTGGGGCTTCATCCAGTGTCCTAGATATGCGTGCGAGGATAATCTTCGTGAAGAGCTTGTACAGCACACTCAGCAGGCATATTGGACGGTTTCGAAGATCTTCCCGTTCACCCTTCTTAAAAAGAAGGACGGTTCTTGACGTTCTCCACTTGTCGGGAATCCTTTTCTTCTGAAGTTAAGATGTCAGGTGCGACGCGAGAATCTCGTGTAGACGTTGTCCTCCGGCTCGCAGAAATTCGACGGAAAGATGGTCTGATCCTGGAGCCGTGGATGTCTTCATGGTCTGAATCGCGTGCGCACTTCAGCAGAATTCGTGGTGGTGCTTCTCCAGTGGGAACAACGGGCATCGGCACGGGTGTTGATGAGCGGAAGAGGTTGGTATAGAAGTTCTTCGCGATAGATTCCATCTTGTATCGGGAAGAAGTCGGAGTCCCGTCTTCGTTCAATAGTGCAGCCAGCGGTACATGATATTCACAGAGGTCCCTTCGGCATTTCTTAAGACTTCGCCTTCCTTCGGCTGCTTCCAGTATCTTGGCTTGCCTGTACTTCCTGAGATCCTCCTGCAAAGCTGTTTTGCAACTGGCGTTGGCTATCAGTCGCTCGAGATGGGTTGCATTCGGATCCTGCCTCAGAAATCTTCTTCTTTCGAGCAATTCCTTGGTGGTCTTCGAAATACGTTCCAAGTTCTTCTCAGAAGTCCCTGAGGCACATTCTCCGCAAGCTCGCAATCCTTTCAGAAGCCGGTCGTAGTCGTACGTTGGGTCCTCTTCGATGGGCCAGTCACATCTTGAAATGAGCTCCTCCAGCCTGTTACCGTCATAAACGACTTCCTTCCTTCTTGCGGCACTGTGACAGACTTTCATTTCCAGCCTTCGGCTGAGTCGTATCTTCGCTCGAAGGAGGCGGTGATCGGAGCCACTGCAGAAGGATGGAACTACTGAGACATCGAGCAAGCTCCACCTTCGGTTGGTGAGAATGTGGTCGATCTCCGCGTGAGTCGTTCCGTTGGGCGATTCCCATGTCCACCAGCGATGTTTTTTCTTCATGAAGATGGAGTTTCCATGGAAGAGTCGTGCGGCGGAGACAAGCCCAGCGAGACGGTTGCCGTTTTCGTTCCGGAGCCCATATCCAAACTTTCCGATCCTATATTCCTTTTCTAGTGACATCTCGATTTTCGCATTAAAGTCGCCCACAACATATTTGTAGAAGGACTTTTCGTTGCGGACGACCTACTCCACGTCTTCGTAGAAAGCATCTAGTTCTGAGTCGTCAGCTGCTGATGTTGGAGAGTAGCAGTTGATGATGCTGATGGTCTTCTGACGTGGAGGGCGTAGTCGTAGGATGGCTAGTGGGGGTGATAGGATCTCGTGCGAATCGACAAGATGGACTATAGATGGGTGGACGACAAAGCCAACGCCTCCCACGTTTCGTGATGGAACCTTCTCACCACGAATGATGAGCGTCCCATCATTCATCTGCCGCACGTCCTTCTTCCTGGACTTCGTTTCCTGCAGAGCAATGATGTGGTACTTGATGTGCTCTGCAGCGTCGAGAAGAGCGTGGAGGTCGGCGTTTGTGGAGACCGTCTTGGCGTTGTAGGTGCAGAGCATGAGGCAGTTTCCGTGGCGTGTCGTCCGGGCAAACGTGTCGTTTTTGTCCAATCCAAAAGGCGCCCTGAGGACCCTGACATCAGTCCTGCTACCACCTGGCGCCGTAGGCGGGATCCGATGTACAGGGTTTCTTTCTGTTCTTCTAACTGATAGAGTAATGAAATTTTCCCCCTACAAAAGCAGACTTACTAGGCCAACTCTTGATTTCCACGAGGCGATCGCTCACCCCGGGCTTGGAGCGGGGAGAACCGCCCAGCGACCTGAAAACCAGACGGCGGTGGATCTGGCCTGGCCGGCTCTTAGCTAGGCATCCGGCCGAAACCGGAAACGTCGAACTCCTTCACAGCTTGGGAGGCCCTGCCAGAGTATACAATCGGCTGTGCATCGTAGTTCGACACCCAGTGTCACCCCCACGCCACGATGAGGCGGCCGACCATTGTGGGGGACCACCCGGCGCCGATCCGATGTACAGGGTTCCTTTCTATTGCTAGTGCTTTAAGAATATGCAGTAGTGCTTTAAGAATATGCAAAGGCTACGGGACATGTGAATGCAAGCAGTCTAGTTAGTCACGCAGGGAAATTCTTACGAAACTTTATTGGGGATGTTGGAGGATTGTTCACCTCACTTAACGGCTTAGTTTCGATTGAAATATTACGTTCAACTTTTTGATACGCTTTGAATGTCGCTTGACTTCTCAGGTACGGCTGCAGTTTAGCAGATCCTGAACTTCTCAGACGATCAAGGCACATATAAATGCCGGGTTGTCATCAATTACGTTTTTGTCCTTCTTCGCTTGCCAACAACGCAGAAGTCAAAATGGTTGTGTTGAAGTATTTATCACATGACTTTTTTGCACACTGCACTTTGTTCGATCAGTCCTGAGCTAAGATGATATATGATGTATACTTGATATGTCAAAAGTAACCTTCTTTTGCGCTTATGAAATCGGAATCGAAAGAATTTATCTTTAGCAATGAGGAGGGACTGTCGTAGGCAAGCTCTTCAAACTGGGAGTGATGATATGGGATATTGTGCCTTTCGATCATTAGTTGACGAATTTACATGTGCGTGTAGAGCTGCAATTTGATTGATCAGTGCACATCTATCATGCGCCCACAAACTGCATTGACAAAATCAAAATCAAAATCCTTCTTTATTATCACAAAGACTATCACAGAAGTTCTGGTATCATTCAAATGATTTTTTATTCCTCTTCTATACGGCTTAGAATGCTCCGTTTATTAAAAAAAACTTGTGGATTCTAGACGATGATTTTGAGCGATGAACCGTTCAACTTCAGTAAGAAAAGAAGAGACAAAGCGGCTTGCTTGTAATCTTGTCTTTCCCTCTGAAGCAAGCATTATATTTTTTGAAAGCATAAAAAAGGATGATTCATCGATCAAAGTACTACTCATCGTCCTATACTGGCCTACAAAAATTAATAGTTTTTCAAATGATAACCAGTGAAACTCCGAAATTGTTTGTACCCCCATTCACCAGGTGCTTTCAACAATGAATCTGGATAAACTATATATTTTGAAAGAGTGGGGACGGTCTCAAAGTTTCTCATTGTCCTAGCTGCTCATCTTTGTAAATTACAGTATTTTTTTGAGTTTGTCAACTTAGTTTTGGAACAGATAGTATCATTCAAATATAGTTTCGACTCAAAATGCAATCCGCCAAGTCTGCAGTGTTGTAAAAATATGTACGGCAAATTAGGAGGGCATTTGAAATTCTTGTACAGAGGTAATCTCCATCGCCCCTTCTCCTCCCCCCCCCCCCTCCCTCCACCCTCCACCCTTCCCGCTCAAATAAGTCATCGTCGAAGTACGAAAGCGAATCGCTCAGCTCAAAGTGAGAACGTCCAAGCAGGTATCGCCTCCGATTTGCGAATAATATAGGAACCATAAAAACCGATCTTTTACAAAAACATGTATTTTCTACACCATCTATATATGGAGAGCGTTAGATAAAATTTCGCGGCAAGACCTCTTACATATTCTAGTTGCGCCTTAAATCGCGCTTTCTTTTCTGCCGCTTGCAGAGACTTCCAACTTCGGTTTTATTGCCTTTTTACTGTTTGGAAATAGCCATAGTAATGTCAACAGAGGAGTGCGTTTCATAGATCTTTATGAATTCATGACCATTTAACATGCATCGCACTTATCAAGACTGAACTCACTTTTCTGCGTTTACGAATCTAGTGCAAACAGATGACAGCGATAATATAATACAACAGCTTTTTAATTGACAGTCTAGGTATGGGACTCCAGAGCTGATGTCATTGCAATGTTTTTTACAGGTCGCCACGCAGAAGCTGCTAAGCGAACAAGTTTTAAACCGTTTGCAACATCACTACAATAATGACACAGATGTAATTTTTGATGACGTAATAGCCAAGGGACACGGTTTTCTGTACATGCCGCTGCACAGAGCAGGTGTAAGTTATCTACGATTTTTCTTGATTTTTCTCATTGCCGTAACAGATAAAAAGATTCAGGTGTGGAACGTTTAGGATAAGGCTTTGCGCTGAGCTGAATTGTAGGAAGTATTTGTGTTTAAGAAAAATAGTAATAATATTTGATCTGCCAAGGGACTGCGGAAGCATATCATCGTATACTTAGTGCAATCAATTTTTCATATCCAGAATTCAGCTTTTCTAAGTAAAGAGGGTGCTGAATAAAACCCTACTCGTGTCACCGAAACTCCATTTCGGGTAATGCCGCGTTACAGTGTTTTTCGTGATTGTGGCGTATCTTATAATTTCTTATTCTACTTAGTGCCAAAGGGGTTCAAGCCACTCGAACGAGAAAATGAAGTACAGCGCACTATATCTAAATGTATTTAGCGTAGCACTTTCAGACGGAGTTTTTGGTGGGACATACCGGTCATGGATGCCAGCAAGTTGTATACGATCTCAAGAATCAAGTCTCAATAGCCTACGTAAACAATGGGCTCAAAACAGGTCTCTACGACTTATGTAGGACTTACATTCGCTTACAAAATGCTGTGTATGATATCGTGGAATCACGTCTTAATGACACCGAAAGAGCATTGTAGTAGATATGTTGTTTACTTTGTTTACTTTTCTCTTAATTCCAGTTTTCTTCGCTAGCACGATCAAAGTTTTGCAAAATCACGTCTGTGACGTTTCAGGTGGTTATCTAGTGTTCTTGTAATTTATTAATCATCCTTGTGATTGCTTTAATTGCTATCGTTGTTTACAACCCGATGATATGGCAATATATTGAGAATTTAGTTTTGCTGGCGCGCGTTTGATTAAGTTTCGTTAGAATGTATGTCTTAAGCCAGAGGTTCTGTTCATTAAACACAATTCATACCACTCCCTATGTTCACTCCCATTCAGGACGTACGTCAATGTAATTTTGTGAATGTGATATGGGTATTTGATGTTATCTACGTAATCGAAACAGCAGTAAATATAAATTTATCATCCACAAGCTACAACTGATGTAATCTAATCAAATGGAAATCAAACTTGCTAAACTTAGTAAAAGCTCTACAATCTCTAGCAGAGGCCTGTGCAATTATTTCAGTAGAAAATTATGTGAATAGTGTGCCAAACCGATATGTTCCGTCTTGGAATCTGAACATATTCGAGGGTTAGTCTGAAAACTACTTTTTATGACCGACAAAGTAGAACTAGAATGTCTGTCAATGGTCTGCAAACGTGAAGCGTATCTGTTTTCACAATGCCGCAATACTTCGAATCTGTCTTGCATAGTATTTTCGCTGAAGCAATCAGGCATCCTGCTGGCATGAGATTGCAACACCCTCAACATCTACCAAACGTGTAATGTTGGCCATTTTAGACCATCGCGGACTCAAAAGTCAAGTCGTTGGAAGTGGCACTACCTTTTTCGAAATCCGGATTTGAGCAGTACAAATGACGGCCTGATGTCCTAACGTCCGTCTAGCTGACGAGGTCGACTTTCTCACTCTACCCAGTTCACATTTAGTTAAAACGTCAACTGTTTCAAATAATGTGCGAGCAATGGGACGCAAAGATACCTTCCGTTATTCCTAGTTGTTGCTCGGAAATCGTCCGTTTCGCTTCCTTAACTTCGAAGCCTCGTAAGTCGGCTCAAGTACAAGCCTTCTAATCAAAACAGGAATTAGAGTCAACGCACCACTGTCAAATAATAGCAACTTCTTCCAGCTCATAAAAGAAGACAGAGGCGAACATTCTAGAAAAACATTTTCGACATCCTTCTTTCCACTAATTCTCCTTCAAGAAGCTGCCGAGATGTTTGAAGAGGCCATAATTTGTGGAAGATAGGACTGGCGAGTAAGCGGAATAAGGCAGGGTTTCATATCCTGACTCATTCAGCTTCTTCATCAAACTTCTAACATGCGATTTGGCATTATCATGCAAAGTACTGACCCTTTTCTTTTTACCAGGGACGAACAAACTTTTTAAAGTTTCTCATTCTCATGGAGTTCCTTACAGTATCTTTCTGCAGTGACGGTTTCATCGGCCTTCAAAAAGTCTTAGTGGATAATGCTGCCGAGAGACACCAAAGAATGACCACAATTTTTCTCAGCGGCCACTAAGATTTGAAGAAAGTCTGAACGGCTCATCCTTGTCCAGCCACTGGGCAGATATTCTTCTGTTATCGTATACGCAATTCGTTTAAGAAAAGGAATATTTTTGTTGCAGTGTAGAAAATTTTTATATTGGCGATTCTCCTGGCTGGGACTCAGTTCATGGGCTGCCCATTTATTTGTATTTTACTCTGTGTACCTCACTCAATCGCTCAAAAAACTGTGCTGTGACTGCCTACTGAATTCAAAATAAGGCGCTCGAACTTGTCCAAATTCTGGACAGGCTTCAATCGCATATGACGTGCCGTTTCAGCAAATAGTGCTTTTTGTTTCATAATGTTTCGTGGCGTCGGTTCCTATCTGTTGTGCCTGTCTTATCACCCGAGATCCGGTAACCTGCAACATCCAGTGACTCGTCAACCGCAAAGAACGTTAGCATCAAAGCCCTTGGATTAAGGCATATCTCACAAAGACAAATGGTCGACGCTTTCTAGCCAACATAACTATAAAGTATCCAATAAAGTCTATGGCAGATTCGAGAGAGTGGTGCCGATAGACTTGCTCCGATGATTCTTCACGACAAGCACAATAGTCGCGATAGTTATTCATCCGCACAATGCGATACAGGCAACGATAGACGATAGCCAAGTGACAAGTGGAGAGCTTGGCGCGAATGGAGAAGGAGAATTAAAACGAATCATTTCCCAAAAATGAAATGCTTATATACAATTTTGGGAGATGGCTTGAGCTACAACAGCAAAGCAAACACTTGTCATCACAACTCTTTCTTGATTGCGACTGTCTCCTTTCGTTTTATTTATGTCTAATCAACATAGAATTCTAACTAATTCCAACACCTTCTAATCCAGCATAAATAAGATTGTTTACGCTGCTGCATGAAGAAGGCGCGATATCTTTGGCACGAACGCGGCTTTAATAACCGCAGAACGCATGAGGCGCAGGATTTACAACGACAGGGATACGCTGATGCAATCCGTTGCGAGATGCGTTCGCGCCCGCTCAACTAATATTGAATCTGCGCCTTTGTCATGCAGTAGCCTTTATACTAGAGCTTTCACCTGCTTGTGATAGGCAATGTTTGGACAAAACTTTATACTTTTCAGACAAAAGCTTTTCCTGTTACTTTCTGTCCTACTGTGAAAAAAACTCGGAATCCACTTGCAGATCCTAGCATTTATCTTGAGGATGATGGAGATGACGACAAGATTGAAGAGTTCAACAATTTGCTCGTTGGCGGCGGTGCAACCAAACGGACAAGATGAAGAGGCAATGAGTAATCAGCGACAGTGCAGTCTTCTTGCGGGCCTCAACAAGATCTGACAAGTACGGTCACATCTCTGCCGCCGCAGATGCGAATATTGGGGGGTGGGGGACTATATGTCGCCGAATTTGGAAGAGTCCCGCGCGGATTCCCTGCAGGAACGCATGTCCGCGCATGTACAAGAGTGCGTATTTGTCGCAGACAGTGGGGACCGCCCTTTTTCGGAGACATATAGTCCTCCACCCAATATTGGGCTAACGCGTCTTGACTCGTATACTTCCATAGTCATGGCATTCTCAATCATATCATCGTGAAAGGTTGGTATCAATCGATAGGTCAACCGAGGCGAAGCTGACTCGTTGGAGGCTCAAGTGTTTTCCTCAGCTGAGAGCGGCAGAGGCAGCTTTATCACAGTAAGTTCCAATTCTATTTAAGCGGAAATTGGATTGGCGGGAATCCGCCTCGCACCTTCACGGCGTTCCGCAGCTACAGTATTAAATCGTGCCAAAAACCCATGCTTGCGTCTCTTCATGCCTCTGCCTCCAGGCGATGCGGACGAGCTGCTCCGTTTCAAATGTAACTACTGTACTACGCGTCATAATCTCTTCTCTTATGAGGTTTTTAATACGTTATCCCTGTTTGCTTTCGGAGCCAGTTTACATCGTTATGGTTAGTCAGGACTTGACCGTTGATTGGAATTTAGCTCGTTCACGAATGAGATAAGCCTGGTAAGCTACGGCAGACACTTCGCGTCTTCGATATAAAGGCATATTTAGCTTTTGCAACAGAGATTAGTCAGTTGGCCAGATACGGTTGTTCGCTCGCGGATCTATCCATTAGCATACACATAATACCAAACATTTCTTGCAGAAAGATATTCTGAACAAAAACAATATGTAACAACACTATTCCCACAGAAATGCTTTTATACAATAAAACAAAATTAATGATAATATGACAAATTGCAAACTCGAATCTGCTCTTGGGCAAGGACATTTTTGGTATACACCAATGGCGTACCGATAGGGAAGGCGGGGGGGGGGGTGTATGTTAATTGAATGAGTTGCAAAAATCTGCAAGTGGTTTATACTCTCAGACACTCTGCTGACGCGTGGGGCGGGGCGAGGGGCGGTCCACGCTCGTGACGTCCCAAAAACCCGAGAAAAGGAATTTCAAAGGACCTGATCCGGAGTTACACCACAGTTTTGCGAATTCACTGGGGACCTCTAAGCGCGCAGCACCTTCGGAGCACTTATAGTACGCAGCCAACCTGCCGCTCGCTTACGCGCAATTCCCGCTAAGTTCAGAAATACGCTCTTTGTTCCTTCTAGGCGTTTTTTACCCTTCTTTCTTCCGTTTTCGTATTTCTTCCGCGTTCTGTTCCCTACATCGCTATCCTTTCAAACTCGTTCTTTTTTAGGTAGAAAATTGCAGACGCAACGTTAATACCTGCCCAGCTTCGAGGAACACTGCTTCAAGGAAGGGCTGTTATGTATGTCCAAGGAGTTGAAGGACAAGCGAGCATACGATGTTTCACCAACATTTGTATTACATCAATCTTGTGCATGATGTTTTGATGTCTATAGTGATTCTGTGGTTCATGCTTTTAGACAACTCATGGGCAAAATAACTATCTGCCCATCCAATTGTTATTAGCAATATCTTGGTATAATGTGTGTCTCAGTCATCTCCACATAGGTATCTCCGCAACGCACACGCCCGAACTTCCTTCATCTCGCTTTCCGTTCTTGCCTCTTATCGAATTTTTATGTCCAGGCATCAATATGCATAGTTTCTGCATTTTTTCCATGGTTAGGAACGAAGAAACGGAAATTCTACATTTTTTTTAAGGCAATGCCGGACTCTCGTGCAGGTAGATCTACTGCCAATCTTTGCAAGCATACCCATAAATTTCCGGCCTTCAACGTTATTAGGTTGATGCAAAAGAAATGGCCGATTTTCTGAGCCTTTTTTAGGGCAACTTTTTTCCATCAATACTTCTTCTTTACGATAGATGTAGTACACCATCGCTCTATCTAACGGTGCGAAATGGGCTCTCATCCTCATCTGTTATAAAGTTACTGAGCCTCAAATAACCGCATCCAAATTCAGAATTTCATTGCATTCACTTTCCGGCCAGAATTTAAGCGCGTATCAATGGGATTTCTTCTAAAATTTAGCTATTGTATGTAATAGAAAATGTCTGCATTATGCATACTTAAGTGTATTCTTTAAAGTTATCCAGACTGAGATATCGGCGCCTAAACATGGGTAGCTGTCGCGGTCATTTTATGACCGATAATTTTCTTCTGAGGAAGTCATCGCCGAAGCTTTGTTCAATTCTGTAAGCGTAGGGCTAGGACATTTATTAGTAGGTTTTGCAAAAACATCCAGCTGTTCACTTCGTAGAAAATCAGAAAATTCTATATTCCGGACTTTGAGGCACACTGAAAAAAATGTTGGAAAACTGAGAAATTTTGAATTTCAATTTTTTTCTTTCTCGCAAATTTTTTGTCCGAATTCTTTTTATTGTATTTTGTACTACTGGCTTGCGGCTACAAGATAAACCACTTATAATTCATACTAAGAAACTTTTAAGGAAGTTATGTGTCAAAAACAAGGTTTTAGCAGAAGAACCTTTTTTGTCTTTTAGTCCGTATTTCTCTTTCCGTTCATGGTTCGAGTATAAGTGAGTACGCGCTGTATTGCGGAAGGTTTGCTGCTTCTGGGGATCTTTACCGCATTCAGAAATGTGAATCTTTTAAAAAGTTGTAGCACGTCAAAGTGAGAATTCGCAAATCGGCCATTACTTTTGCAACAGCCTAATATTTCTCGAGAAATACCAATTTTAGCACAAAAGACAATGGGAGGACCTGTATTTGATATTTCTCCTCACCAAGTTCAGTGGAAGGATGAAAATCTGTGGCTGTGCTTGCAAAGGCTCGTAGATTTACTTGTGTGAGAGCACCACAACTGCTTTGAAAAAAAAAAACTTAAAAATTTTCCTTGATTCTCGGGCATGGAGCGACTAGAGCAGTTATGCATATGAATGTTTGATGTGGTGTAAATCTTTGAGCGGGTTGAGGGTGATTCCTTTGTGCAAAGATGCGATTTTTTTGATTCTCCGTGCACGAACTCTCATTTTGGCCCTATATTTTATGATAAGTAAATCGAACCTGCTGCAATTGTTCGATGAATATCCTTGTAAAGCTTGCTTTGCTCTATCAAAAAATACCCCACGCACTTTCTTCTGTTCCCCCGCTTCAATAGCACAAAACACGATATTCTTTTTCTCTAATTCAAGAGCAGCGTCCACCCAAAATTTCGCCTACCATGTTTTTGTCATTCTGGGGCCTTTCCGTGGCCCTGATTACAGTTATGAAGTTCATATTGTCCAAATTCACGAAAACCCCGATTTTTGGGGGCATTGTTATGAAGAGGTTGACGTTTCAGTACATGGGTGGGCGGAGCATAGGATCTGGGCGGGGCTGATAGGACTTTGGCTGTTCCAGGCCCATCGTCTCCTTTCAGAGACAACATTAGATAGCCGGACCAACGCAGATGTTCCTCTATTGAGGCCCACATTCGGAATCGGCATCAATCGGAAGGCGTTAGATTTAGCCTGGACACTGCCTAATACTCATTCTCTTAATCATGTGAGAATGATCTGGGATATGCGGTCAACAACATCAATATTATACTTGTCCTCAAACTGTATCTAATTTGTGTAGGAATATCGATGCCGAAATTTCAAGATCTTGCTCGCTGTATTTCCAATTTTTGTTGGAAATGAACTGTACAGTGCGTGATTGTGAATGGTCAAGTCATAACCATAAACATTCACAACTTTTGATTCCACTAATTTGCAGCTGGAAGTGCATATAACGGAAGGGATGCTTCAAGTACATTATGTCTGGTAATGAGCTGCATCAGTGTGACCCGGATAGGAAGCGGTTGCCAGGCAACCATGCGCGAAATCTGCAATATTGCGCGAGCCCGACCCCGGCTGGTTGCAGCCTTACTTACCTAGGTGCTAGTTACCCTAATCAGCCGTATATTCCCCTCATCAGTACGTTGTTTGTTCACTCTGTGGAACAGCTGAGGATCGCAGATTCCTCCAATGAGTCTTTTCAATAGGATTCTTTCAATTGGCGATGTGCTTTCCAGACTACCTCAACTTGACGCTCAGGTAAGTAAAAATAATGTCTCAAACCTTTTTCCGTCTAGGTAAGAGCTTGAGGGTTTGGAATTTTTGATGGTGTGCTAATTTCCTAATATATTTATAGGTGGATAAACTCGAGGCCGAAGATTCTTTTAGTCGTGAAAATTCTCAACTTAGGCGCAGTTTCACAAAGAGATGCCACGAGCTCTACAAACAGGTGCACTATCCAAATTCTTCAACTTTGAACTACTTCGATCTTATGGCACTTGGCAAAAAAAACCTTTTGAAGCTTTTTTGTTATGATCTTGCAAATTGGGTACTTGCTTTGCAATCGTTCAACCAAAAAATTACCCAACTTTTTTTCTGTAAAGTCGTGGACACGGGTTTCCGACAATGTGACATGCATAGCATGGTGTTTCTACTTTTTCTTTATGTTTTTTATTCTCCATGACGCTCAATACGCCTGGAGAAACGAATTCTTCCACGAGCATGTTCTGCAAACAAATAGTGTAAATACATAGTTTGGTTAGCAGACCGGTGATTTCCTATTCAGAGAACTATATCCGCCTAAACTTTGAAATATCCTATGTATGAGTGTGACAATTTTATTGTCTTAGTTAATCGGGTGTGCAACACCTTCAGCTTTTTTTTTCTGATCCTTAGGATTTTTTCCAGAGATTTTCAAACTTGTCTGGTAATTGAAACTCAGTAGTTTCTGTGCCAGTAAGCTTTTGCTAACATTTTCAAAACTTCTACTGCTAATTTAGTTCTCAAGGATGTGTGCGATTTCCAGCTTTCCCTATTAGTTCTCAAAGATTCGTCCACAATTTTTTAGATTTTTTCTATCAACCAATTTCTGAAACCAATCAGTGTGACCGAATTCTTTTTTTTTGTTGACATATTCTGATAAACGTTGTAAGCTTCATAGTGATTTAGGTTGACGAGCAAAAGAGGAAGATTCGTGAGATAAAGAGCAAAGAAAACACAGAAGAACAACGAATGGCAGCTCTGGAACAACTTGAAGATCTACAGGTACTCCATTTGAAAGATAAAATTTGATACTTATAGAAAAATGAATAAAAGCTTCCAATTGGCAAATGCCTGAATTTAGAGAATTTGCGTCTTTCTCTAATAAAAAAAACAAGTTGACTTGAGAAAATGTCTAATTCGAGGAAAGCATGTAAATTTCTACTTCTTCTGAAGAAGGGAACGAAAGGAAGATGTATATGCTCGATTATTATATACTCAGGGTATGCCAGGGATACGACGTAAACTAAATTCAAAAAAGACGCTCATTCAAAGAAACAAGCTTAGCTCAACATGATTTATTGTTTTCGTTAGAATGCTTTTTTCCATCACCTCAGAAAATTTTTTTCTTTACTTGTGATACATAGATAGAATAACCCCGTTTAAGGTACGTCTACTCCGCCTGGCTCCAGAACGCGATCGAGGAAGTGACGTCGCTTCACGAAGCAGTGAGGGAGACACTCCCGGCAGAAGCGGCGAGAGACCCCAACAGAAGACCCCAATCACGTATGAACCATCCACATTGAGTGTTCAGGAGACACCTGTGCTAGTGCAGTTAGTGGTTAATGAGCTAGAATCGTAGAAAATGAACAAGTTTTGGTGAACCTAAACTTTAAGAGCTCGTACCTTCAGTACTCCACAGCCAGAGGTGCCCACCGTTACGACGAGAAGAGGGAGTATGTACGAAGGTGCATCAGAAGACGAGAATGAAAGAGATGAGGATGAGGATAGTGATGAAGACGAGGAGGAGGAATTGCAGCAGAATGGAGGCGATATGCTCAATGGGACCTCCTCTTCTAGCTCTACCAAGGTGGATATAAGATATTTCTGAAGGCCCATCTCCATTTGTCATTTTCAGCCTATTCAACTTCCTCAGCAACCCCAACAAAGAAGAGAAGAACGAGGCTACCAGTCTACCTCACAACCGAAAGAGCAGCCCATGGCTGAGCCGAGAAGAAATCAACCTCCTGCAAAACCTCCCCATCAGCCGAAGAACGCTGATTCAGAATTTGTAGTTTTGGCCAACCTAAAAGCGTCAGAACCGGGTGACTTGAGCATCTCTGAAGGAGAAAAGCTGCACATTTTACAAACGAGGTGCGTTGAGACTTTCACTTCAATAACCTTGAATTTCAACGCGCCTATATATTAGGTCGTAACATAAAGTTTGTTTACACCTAAAAATCTTCATGACTTACTCGAGAGACTTTTTGCTTTTCAGATTAAGTGGAGTGTAGCTTTCGTCTACATTTCACACTCAAAAAAAATCCAATTCTTCAAATCCGTTCTGAATTTTATTTGGCGAATTGCGTTATTGAAAAGCCTAGTCTCCCAGACTGCTTTCACTTTCACCCTTTCATCACCCCCCCCCCCCCCCTAAAATTTCGTATAAAATTCTAGAAAAATCAAAATATGAACAGGAGAATTTTTGAAAGAAGAAGAAGAAGAATAAAAATTTGATCGCAATCAAAAATTGCCTTTATATCTACTGAGTCATATCCATGAAGGTAAAAATAATGCTGATGTATATTGTCCATTTTTTAGATGTGCTACATATCACATTTTGCAGAAGTTTTTAGAGTGTTTTGAGAGCGCGAGAAAAGTATAACAATTACATCACATTTTAGAAAGGCTTCAGTTCTTTTTTATCCTCTCCCATCCTTTTTGTTCCTATCATTCCAGCTTTTTTCAAACCACTTTTTCTAGAGCGGACGGATGGTGGATGGCGAAAAACGGCAAAGGAGAAACAGGACTAGTACCGAAGACCTACCTCCAACAGATTGCCAAAGAAACCAGTGAACGTCCGCCAACCAGAAGTGCTGAAAACACACGAGAGCGATCTGCCGTTAGTAGCAGATCTGCTGCTGCTTCGCTATCACCACCTTTGGAGGAACCGGTAATTTTTTTTCCGAATTCCGAAAAATCTTGGGAATTGATTTGTATATAAAGGCTGTTTAATGTTGTTAGACATCGAGTGTAAACAGAATGAAATAGAAAAAAATTAGATAGTATTCAGTGATAAAAATAAGAATAACAATAAAATTAATGGAAATTTGTAAGACATTTTCTGTATGCAAAACGCAATGAAGGTTAACTTGGGTCTGAAGGTTTCCCTCAAGCCTGATCCTTAGAGAACGGCATCACACGGAAAAATGAATTCGCTCTCAATTTTTTGAATGCTGATTTATCTGACATATTGATATCTCCAAAAACTTGCAACTTACACAAATACTTTTGAATTTCTTCAGATTCCAAAGAGGCGTGCTCGCTGTTTGGGAGATGCTCAACAACTCGACCCGCATTTGTCGTTTGCCTGCCATTTGACGCCTCGTTTGAGCCATTCAAATATAGGTTTTCATGATCTGTACTGGAATTACAAGGATGACAAGGTAGTAAGTAACATCAAATAGCCAGCTTCCGTGTGCTAACTGTCCGTACCACCGTTTTCTTTACATTGGAGCAATTACAGCTCCGCAAACGACGAGTTCGTGTCTCGAAGCTGGTACGTCTGGTTCGACTGGAGGGAATGCCAAAAGAAAGCCCACTCTGTTTAGTACGAACAGCTCTCTATGATCGGAGTAGAAAGACTGGCAGGCAAATTGTAAAAAAATTTTCCAAGTCTGCGCTTCTCACTAAACTTCTTTCCGTTTAGGTTAGTAACGTGCACACCATACGATCCCAGGTTAAGAATCGCACATGGAGCTTCAACAGTCGGGTAAGCCGAAGGACAGTGGAAAAAATATACAGGGTGTCCCAAAAAAATGTGCCTACTGTTTGAATATAAATAACTTTCTTGTAATGAAGTGTTTCGAGAAGCTTTAGGTACCCTTCTGTAGAGCGAGGTTGAACTTAGATTTACACTATGAAGCGAGTCATCTATCGCTCTTCATTACTGTAGAATTACGGTAGGAACTTCGACAAAGATTTTAGGCCTTTGGAGGCTACACTCTGCCTCGGAACGAAACCAAACAAGCCAGAAACTCTTACACTACGGTAATGGGAACCGCTGATTTCGAATTTGAAATTCCCATTTTGCTGTGATGCTTCTTTCCTAAGTTAACCCCGGTAAATCGTAATAACTCAATTCCCAGCATTTGCCAGAAATGTAATTACACCGTCAAAAAAGCTGAAAACACTCGTAAAAAGTTGTTAGATGGAATCAGCATGCGCGAAAACCCTAGTACATGATTTCTCAGATTTTTTGAAAAAAAATTTGTTAGGTGGTATATTTTACAATGGTTCCATATGCTGGAAGTTCTTACCGTAATCCTACAGTAATGAAGAGCAATAAATGATCCGCTTCATACTGTAAATCTAAGTTCAACCTCGCTCTACAAAACAGTGCTGCCCAAAGCATCTCGAAACACTTCGTTACAAGAGAGTTATTTACAACCAAACAGTAGGCACATTTTTTTGGGACACCCTGTATAAATTTATAAATCTAATGTACGGCTTTAGACCGACACAACATCATCTGGCGTGGACTATGGAGATTTCGTTGTTCGCTCCAATTACAATATGGATGATGTTGTGCTCCTCATCGAAGCCTCGCATATTGTCGAAACACCGGTATGTAAGCATTCTTCCATGTTGATTGAGGAAATAGAACTAGATTTGGCACAATTCCAAATCAATTTACTCTACTACAGTTTCAATAAAACCGATCTCTAGGCTGACTGTTTACAAAGAGAGTATCCCGATCCGCTTCTGAAAAAAAAAACATAGAAAAAAGGGGAAAAGAGCAAAAAGGAGAAAACAAAACGCCACCAAAATTCTTTTAGCTATTTTCGCATCTCTCTTTACTTTCGCGAATGATTTAAGAGTTTACCAAGACTATTAGAGTTGTTAGAATATCTTCACGCTTCAATGGATATTGGATTTATAATAAATACTCCTCAAAATTTTTTTTGTCAGTCATTCAGATTATCTCATAATTTTATTGTCGAGCATTGATTTCATGACGATTTTTACAGTGTAAAATAAGCTTTTAGGCTGGCCCCGAAGAAAGAAGTCTGGGAATCATTACAGTACCTCTAATCGTTAGAGGACAAGTATCGATTGCTAATAAGTAAGTTTTCACAGCTTTTGGATTTTTGGGATTCGACATGGATGTTGGCCTTTCAGAACCTATTCTGAATATCTACGTGGAGAGAACGTTTTCGATCCCACCCGGGAGGGAGCGCAACCTACTCAGTTCAAAATTGTTTTAAAAGTCCTTGATGTCCCCCAGGAGCTGGTACCTCTTGTCGAGTGGGTTTAAAAGGCTATTTCAACTATTCACAAGAGGGTTTTATAACTTCAGTTCCATGCCTGATGTGTTGCTATTCAATCCGATGTTTGTGAGGTTGTACTTCTTCTTCCGACGCCGTGCCGGAACCACACTTTTGCGCGATCGAGATAATCCCCTTAGTGCAGGCATGTTGCAAGTTTAGCCATCTTTGAAAGCTTATCCGTCACGGAAAGCGAACGCTAGAGAACGCTAAAGTGGAAAACTTGCAACTTTTCCCTTAATCTAGTGCATTTACAGAAATGGTGTCCGATCCACTATTAGCCTTGTTTCCGTCAGTTGCGGATCAACCTGACATGATGGATCAGCTCAGGACTTTGTGGAATGCTAAGCTGAAAACCATCAAAAATGTGAGCAATTATTTATTCATCTATTTATTTATTGTATATTGTATTTCCTCACACTCGAGGTGCAGTAAAAAACAACTCAAAAGTAGACAGAAATTAGTCAACGAGTATAATACTAATCAGTCCGATATGAGAGAGGGCCTTCATAAGTACCCTAATTTCACGCGTATAAGGCGCGGGGGATTTTTTTCCGAAATTGACCAGCCCAGACACGCCAAAGGACTTTACAACCAAAGGACCCTATAACCGCTGTATATTGCTTGGGAGAATTGTGCGATGTGAGGAATTCTTTCCGGAATACAGTGAAGTGAGCGTCTCGCTTGAAAATTCGAAAAAGTGCGCCTTATACGCGTGAAATTGGGGTACTTAGAATTTGCAGTATGTCTATTACGCAGTGGCCCAACACCTGTTCATTCACCACTTAGTTTTTCATTCCCACGTGGAGTCAAGTGATTGACTTTGTGCACCCGACTAATTAATAGTTTACTTTGTATTTTTTCTTGCAAACCAGTAATTAAAAGCTGATTAATAGGTGACTTCCACCTGCATCTTTCCACAGTTCATTGATCAATTTTTTAGGGCATTTCATTATAACTAATAAGATCTTTCAAGCCTAACAGTAACCAGCTATTATTAAGTATATTCAAATAATACACTTAAGGCCGTACTTATTATATTTCAAAATCATAATAGCACTATAAAGTATGTTATCCATTCCTTCCTTCATTTTAGAGATCCGAAGGTGACCAAGCTGTGGCGTTTTTCCAGCTTTTCATGAATACGGCATACTGTATCGAGAAGACAGCAGTAATGCCTCCATACCGTATCTGGGATTCCAAAGCTTTGGCTGCTCGCCAGCAGGTATGTACTATCCAAACTGTCTTTCAGTTAAAAAAGTTCTAGAAAAGGAAGAAGAAACTAGAGAAAAGATGCAGAAAATTGTGCAAATAAAATGCGATCAATTCGTCAATCAACGCACAGAGAGTGAACGCAAGGAGTAGTAACAATGATTGTTTTGAAAGATTCAATTTTTAGATCCAAAAAACTGTTGAGGTTTTCTTTACCATCGATTTGAAAAGTGGGCAGATTTCCGTTTCTGCGACAATATAAACTTCTTGCACTGAACAATATTTGATTCAGGTGTGTAGTGTTGATATCATGTAGCTATTTTAAGAAAGAGGGTTGTGGTCGTTGCTTTGAACTATTGTTATAAATTCATGGTGATTTACTAACGCCAAAACTTCGATCTACAAATCAGTGAACTATTTCAGGTGATCAAAAAATGTGAGGATATGCTGCGAGAATATCGTACCTCTTCGAGATTTCTGCTCACAGAACCTTGCCGTCCTTTAAATGTCTACGATTATTCTTTCGACTTGATGGGCCGCCATGCACTCGACTAATTTCTTGAAGACTTTTGGCTTGAATTTTTGCATTTTTCGATGTTTTGCCCTCTTTTCTCACTGCCATTCAATTTCATTCGATTTATTCACTGGTATCTCAGACTTTCATCTCATTTCTCGCTGCCGCCACAATGATCGCTTCCTTTCACCATTCTTTTCCGTTTTGGCTACCAGTATCGTCCCTAACAAGTGTTTATCGCCTATACCGGACTTTCAAGCGATCTCTTCTCGCTGATACGCAGTCCCGTTTTTCGCGTATCTGAACGACTTTTTTCCATCGACACATCGAGCGGATCGCTTTTGCGACAAAGAATTACCCGCGTTCGCTTAGGGATTTGGGTCAACTAAAAACACCTGACATGACCTAGTGTGGAAATACAAAAATCGTTGACGTTACGCAAAAGACGTATCGGCACTCACTATTTCTCAAATTTTTCACACTTTTCACAATATAGTAGGCTCATCAAGCTTGAATCTCGCTCATCGAATACATATCAGATCTTGCCAGGGTGATTGCATTTACCAAATCTGCCAATTAGATTTGCACCGTCGATTATTGTTAATAGTTTTCTCTCATTGGCTGCCTCGATTGTTTAATCCGATAAATCACTGAGAAAATAAAAATCAAAGAGATTTTTTTTGTGGTTTAACAGGTATCTGAAAAAAATGCTGGATGGAAGAGTAAAGAGTGGATTTAGGTTTCCAAAACAAGATTGCAAGTGCTTTTCTGGGGTTTTATTCTAAAGTCTTGCGTCATAAGAGATCACCAACCATCTTGTTGGCTGACATCTACGAAAAACTTGTGATTTATAGTTCAAAAAAGTTATAGCCATATTCAATCATGAGATAAAATACTAGAAAAAAATTCGAAGCCTTTTGTCCCGAGCATATCCATGATGTTATAATTTTTGTGGTAAATTGTCGGTTGCCGAAATGCTGAAGGAGATAAATAATCGCGTCAAAAGTTAGGGTTTTTAACTTGTTTTTCAAATAAAATTTTTGCCCATATATTGGCTCTAAGAAAAGATAAAATTATTTTCTGTGTTTTTTGATGAGGGGGGGGGGGTTGAAAAACTTTTGAGACTTATTCGCATGATTTGCTCGATATAAATTTGACATACTTTTTACAGGATAGCAAAAATTATGTTTTTTCCTTTCATCGCGTTTCCATTAGCAGAAACTAAAGCGTATTTTACAATTAGTTTTTCATAAAAAAATCATTATAAGTAGATTTGACGGAAATAGCGTTGATGAGGAAAGCCTAAAATCAGCATTTATTTCGATACGCTCTTCCTCAAAAGGCGAAATCATTGAACTGACAATAAAATGACCATGACGAGCCGACAATGCAGATCTTCTTAGATCCCAATACACAACTTCCCATTGCGATGATAATCGTCGAAAGTTGAGAGTGTGGAAGAGCCGGTTGGACGACGACGCGCTTGTACCGTATCACTTTCGCCGCCGCGTCGCTGCCGCGCCTCTCCATTCCGCGCACACTGTCTGCATAGGGTCAGACCACGCCTTTGGATCTCGAGTATAAAGCGCGCTAGGCGATTCTGCTGGAGCAGAGCCTCCCGAATGGATCTCAAGGAGACGGAGGAGCAGCGTCAGATGCGACGCATCGCTTTCGTAGCCGTCGTCGTTTCGACGGCGGCCGTAATCGCTAGCGTCGTTACGCTGCCGATGCTCTACAATTATGTCCAATCATTCCAAAGTCATCTCATGGTTGAGACGGATTATTGTAAGGTAGTAATACTTTCCTTTTACTAGTTTATTTTTTGAATTTCCTTGAATTAAAAAAAACTATCTTTCTGTATTTTTAGGCTCGCTCTCGAGATATGTGGCTAGAAATGACAGCTCTCCAAGCCGGCAAAGGACTCATACATCGCCAGAAGAGAGCTTGGCTATTTGGACAATGGATTCCTGAGGGTGGTTCCGGTGGAGGTGCACCTGTAGGCGGTGGTGGAGGTATGCCGTTTTGGGTTCCCCAGATTTTATTTAATTTTCTAAATTTGCCCCTTCCAGGTGGTGGTAACAGTGGATATGGTGGCTATGGAGCAGTGATCAACACCGAACCAGCTCAGCCAACTTGCTGTACTTGTAACCAAGGCGCTGCGGGACCACCAGGACCCGAAGGACCCCCTGGTAATAATGGAAAGGATGGTCGCAATGGCAAGGATGGAAAGAATGGAAGAGATGCTGAGCTGATGCCAGCACCACCATCGGAACCTTGTGTGATCTGTCCACCTGGACCACCAGGACCCATGGGATCAATGGGTGCAAAGGGTCCTCCCGGACCAAAGGGTGCCCCTGGCGAACCGCCAAAGGATGGAATCGCTGGAGAAGACGGTATGGCCGGACAACCTGGACCAATTGGACGACCTGGCAGAGATGGAATGAAGGGTGCTCCTGGAGCGAATGGTAGACTTATTCCTGTGCCTGGTCCTCAGGGTCCACCTGGAAAGCAAGGACCACCCGGACCTCCTGGACCAAAAGGAAATCCTGGACCCGACGGACAGTCATACCAGGTTTGGAATTATCTAAATACTCATCTTTACGATTGGTAATCGAGCGAGACGCTACTGATGTTTTTTCTTTTAGGGACCACCTGGTCCACCTGGAGAGCCAGGAAACTCTGGACCTGAAGGACGACCCGGACCAAATGGACCTCCAGGACCTCCCGGAGAGGACGGAGACAAGGGCGATTGTGGACACTGCCCTCGTAAGTCTTCCGTCACCAATTTGCATTTCAATCTCAATGGTTCAATTACCCATTTTCAGCACCTCGTACACCTCCCGGCTATTAGAAGTCTTCTGTGCAAGTCCTTTAGGACACGCCCCCAGCGGGTGCAAGCGTTCTTTCGTCTATGTATGTACAATAATAAATATTTGCTCAATATAACCTGTTTTCTATCCTCTTTCTCTGTTGAAAATTGGTATATTGCGAGATTTTATGGAATTTAGTGCAAATATGCGGGGAATGAGTCAAGCGCGGAAACTGGGTAACCAGGAAAAGTGTGTCATTTGATCGAAGAAAGAAAACTCGAAAAAACTGCAAGTTTTTCGCCGGACTCGATTTGCACTGGATAAGCGAGACCACATTGTTTGCGCGTGTTCGCGCGCTAGGATGAACATCTCCATGAGTCCATTGTCAGTGCTTGATCTGTGATACTGTAGAGAGACAAACACTAATTAATAATTTGGCTTGACTGAGAGAAGACCAACATATCTTGGCTAATTTACAGGTTATGTTTTTGTAACTCTTGAATGCATTGGGTTGTCCCTAATGTAGACTTTATTTTCAATTAATTGAGCTGCTTTTATTTTCCAAATAAACTTAGGGTACCATTCGAAAGAGCGGACCAAGCTCCACAAAAAGACGACCAAAGATCCACTTAAGTCTAGCTCAGGTAAAATTTGAACAAAAATCGAAATTTTCCAGCCCCAAAAGTCGGATCTCCTTCCAAATTCCTACGGAATTCCAACTTGGTCTTTATATAGTAGACACCTAGTAGTATCCAAAAATGTACTTGGTGGATTTTTTTCCGGGATTCAAAATTGAGAAAAAAGATGGTCCGAAAATGCCAAAATGCCACTTTTTTCGGATTTTTCAGGTAAAAGTTGGTACTTTTTATTACAAGAGCACATACAGCGGTGAAGTATTGAGATTGTAATTAGTAAGGCTTGTACTATGCAATGACATATGTGGGAGGGGCTGGGGGCTGAGTTTGCCATTTTTCACTATCTTTTTCTCGTTTTCTATGTTCGAAAAAATCCAATAAAAACATATTTGAGTACTACTATAGTGTGGACCCCGGCCAGGTTCCCATAGGTACTTCCGCGGCGCGCACGCAGCGCGCGCCCTTCTCAATGCTTCTCGCCTCACTCATGAGCAGCAGAGCACATTCATGCTCACAAAGGAGAAAAATATAAAGTGGAAATTTCTAGGTTCACTTCGAAAGAGACGCATGCAAGAACGAAACACAGGCAGCCTCCATGAGTACCTCATACTCAATCAATGGATGCATATTCCAAACTTGCACGGATGAATAGGTTGTAATAAGTATACGTAGAGAAACTAAAGAACAACAGCATTCTTAAAACATTTCTTTTTGTGGACCTAGAAACTAGAGTGGTCAAAAATTTCAAAATATGACATATCAGAATCAGTGGACATATCAGTAAACAAATGCCTATCGGCTTCTCGGAAGGCTCAATTTTGACTTGAGACACTGTCTACACCTTACACATCAAACCGAAAGGGACTCTTATTTTATACAAGAAGCTTTTGAATGAATATTATCTCAATATCCAATCAAATCTCAATTTTTGTAGAGAAAAAAGAGAAAACACAAGACTACTACACAAGACTGAAGCTCTTAGAACTATTAGAGCACGTGAAATCTCGTAATCGGTCATCACGAATTGTTTTTACCTGAAATAGAGAGAATATAGTATACCAAAAACAAAAAAAGAGAGAAAGGAGGATTTCGATTAGAAGCTAGGACAGGAGACGCACTGAAGGCGTGCGTTGCGGGTGCGTCGCGCAGGTGCCTAAGGGAAGCTGGCCGGGGTCCACACTATATGTATGTGCCTACTGTATAATGACCAAGTTGGAAGTCTGTAGGATTTTTTTTCGATTCTGGCTTCAAACTTTACGAGGAATGCTACTTAGGCGGATCTTGGTGGCAATTATATAGAGCTTGATCTGCTCTATCGAATTGAACTCTAAGTCTACTAGGAAAACAAAACAGTTTGAATCAATCAAAAAAGAAGTTTCAACCAATACTTCTACAAATTTAAGAAGCTTCTAATATCTGTTCGCATTTTGACGGAGTGCAAATTTCGTACTGTCACACGCAAATGTGCTTCATGGGGAGTACGTTTTACACCCTCTTAAAGCGGTCTTCATCCAGGTGATCAGCGAGAGACCGGATGGTCCGCAATCTTAGGCGATTATGGGGGGATGGCACTATCATTTGTGCACACGTTCTGTTATGCGGATGATGTGTCATCTTGGTGCACATTCGTATTTCAACATCGAAAACATCTATTTAACCCATTGACGACCGATGATGTGGACCACCGGTGGCCCACACCTGTTGCAAAGTAATATCCTTTGTGGGCCTAGTATTTCTTTCTTTTCTTTCATAGATCAATATTTTTTCCAATTTTTTGAACTCTTGGGACCTGTAGGCTCCGTCGTTCAAAGTATGTCTATAGTTGTTGACAAAACAACCTTGCATTACGTAAATAACCACAGAACCTTCTCACGCCGAAAATGTCGTGCGAAATCGCGTCGCCCCACAGCGCCGTCACGCGAAATTAGGTGTCGTCGTCAGTGGGTTAAAAAATTTCCGTGTAGTTTGCGACACATATAAAAATTTTTTTTGAGTTTGGAATCTTTTGATATGTTTTTCACCATTCATTTTTGATATGCTAGCCGCACTAAAACGCTGCCATAAAAAAAAGAAAAAAAATGTAAAATAGAAAAGCACGCCTAGACAGGGAAAAAATTAGAGAGAAAAAATAGAAATCTTGAGTATGTTTACGGAACTGTCTGGGCTTGCTGCCTCTTTATATTCTTCTAATAGTTATACTCGTGTGTAGGCCTTGTCGTACGTATATATGGGAGAAGTTGGAAATTTTAACAAGTTTCCGAATTTTTTCAGAATTGAAGAAAAACAGTGTAAGGAAATTCTCCACCACCTAAATTTTGCTATGATTGTGTTTTGAATGCTATACAACACCTTTTCTTGAGTCTGCATTGCGTTGCCGTTAAGTTTTAGCAATTCAAAGGTAGGTGAATTTATAGCAGTTAAATTGTTCAAGAATCCGCGCACTGACTTTTAGAAGCATTTTTGTCTTTGTTTTCACGAAAAACTTTGTTGTGCAGATGCATGACGCTTTGTAATCCGTCTTACATAATGGTGAGTTGGAATGGTTAAACAAAACAAAACGAACACGTGCTTGAGTGTTGCCTAAAAGTTCAGCGAATATGGTGCGCAAAATCCAGAGTTCGTTGATTCCTAAACAGCGAAAACGGAATGTGGAGACCAAGTAAATCAGCAGCTGATGAAAAAGTGCACGACACCGCTGCAGTTGACGCTGTTAAGGCAAACTTGAAGCTATTATAGCTGATGATATCGCATTATTCAACTGAAGTTTTTATCACTCCAAAACTATATTTTGCAGGTAGTGAGAGTCAAGTGTATTTGCTTGCTTAGTTTACATTAAAATGCTTCAAATTTTCAAACTGTGGAGCTGTCCATCAATCATGATTTCAGGCATTTTACCATGCTCTTAGAGAAACTCATTAACAAACATTCGTCCAGAAGAAGACACGGCATTATTGTAAGGTCCATTCATAAATACGTGACGATGGATTTGACTGGTTTTTGCGCCCACAGGGGCATCACCCTCGTCAAAGAGGCATCACCTCAACGCTCAGCTTAATCACTTCCAATGTCCAAGTACTATCATACCTAAGGAAACTAGTCGAACAGACTGAAACCAAGACAATAGGTTGCCGGAAGGTGCGTGCGTGTCGCGCGCGGTCTCGACATCGTCACGATTTTTCAAATGCCCTATACGATCAAAGGAACCGTACTAACTAGCTATAACAAATTGAGACTTTCTCATGCGTTCATCTTTGAGAGTGCTTGCGCATTTAAGTACGACAAACAGCAAGGAAGCTACTATCCATACATGCATGTCGCCGCTAGGCTCATCCCGCATACAGATTATGCAGATTTAACAGAGAGTTGGTCAAAAATGAACAGTTTTCAAGGTTGACTGATTTACATATAATTAAGAATGTTATAGATGTATTTCTCAAAATTTGCCATTTACTTTCAAAGGGCACTTCATAACATCAGTTTTCTGAACCGACAATGGTAACTACACTTCGCTTTAGGAATTCTTCTCCCAACATTTCCGCCTTTTTCACACTGATTAATGCACTAAACGAGAATTGTATTCTAAGGGAAATAAATTTTACAATTGCCTTCTGCATTTCAGTCACTGCATATGTCATCCTTGCATTGTGGCAAATAGTGTCACCAAAATCAAAATGAAGGAAGGGCTTAGTAGCATTCCTACAACGTAAATCCGGAATTCTGGAACATATAGCTTACATGTTGCGAAGTGAAAATTGGGATATGCGAATATTGTAAGTACTGTGATGATTTCGATCGCGCTTCCATACATTGACTAGTGAATGAATGTGCCTGTGAAATCATATCTCACTGGAATTTTTTCCATGCTTCTAAACTCAAATACCCTACGATTATATTCTGTAGAAAAGATCTAATGTACACAATTTGCTAATCAACTGGATAACAACTTGCTTGGATGGAAAAAGGATTACAAAAGAAAAAGAAAATAATGTCGTTTTTTATTAGCTTGCTTCATCAAAGCAACCAATCAACCCAACAAAGGGTAAGGGGTACTGTTCGAAGAACAGAGCAAGCTCTGCAAGATAGCGTTTATGATTTTGCACCAAGTGCGATCCACGGAAAGTCGAACTCAAGCTTAGATTTCCAAATGTCCAAAAATTCGAAAAAAATCAGATTCGCCCAAATAATTTCTGCGGACCTCCCACTCGCACAGGTCAATACTTAATCGATATTCATATGTGCAGTTGCTATTCTTTTTTGTTTAGAAACTGAGAAAACGAAAATTTTCGTGATCTCAAAGCAATGCTGAGCCGTTCTTGCATGCATGTAGTGCTATACTACAAGCCTAGGTAAGTATAACTGTAGATTTTCAATCCCTAGCGGTAGTTTTTGAGAAATATCGAAATCAGCTTTCTTCTTTTCAGTTTCAGTGCTGAAATCGACATTTTTGAAAATTACAGCTAGGAATAGGATGAAAATCTGCAATTATGCTTATC